GATGAATCGCCTATAGAAGTAAATACCGTTAATATGATGAATCGCCTATAGAAGTAAATACCGTTAATATGATGAATCGCCTATAGAAGTAAATACCGTTAATATGATGAATCACTTATAGAAGTAAATACCGTTAATATGATGAATTACTTACAGAAGTAAATATCGTTAATATGATTTGTTAAAATAGGAAATTTAGATTTACCAAGACGGGAATATCCCTTACACTTAGTGTCATTGGAAAACAAAGGAATGTAGATCAAACTGGAGCACCAGGACCATGCAGAAAAAGGCCTGCAACAAGTCGTACCCCACCCGTGGTAAGCAAAGTGTGTTTGCTTGTAATAAGTGAGGATCCATGAAAAAATTGTAGTGTACGTGTTGTTGTTTTTTATTTTTTCGGTTTGTACCACATTATTGGAAACCAAGTTACTTATACTTTACCATTTTACTCCTCCAACACCATGCAGCATAATCACAAAGGTTTCTCGTCTGGAAAAGGACATCAGTTACGTGTATACATATTGCTTTTCCATGTCTTATCTGTTCAACTGTCTCAATAACTAGAGAATGAAATGGGCATTTGTGCTACTCTATATGTAGACATAATGGTCAACTCACCAAATGCAGCGCTTGTGGATTTCTCTGCGGTTTAACTATCAAAATGGCGCTTTGAAATCGTCATACGCTAGGTGGATCATGGAATGCATGTAGGGAGGATTGGTATGCTTTGAACATAGTCGTCAGATAGAGCTTGACTGAAGGTGACAACAAGGAGCTGCATCAACGTGCTAAGCCTACCAAATTGTTTTGATTAAACGTACTCAACCCTCTGTATAAATTAGGAAACTGATAAGGAGTTTTATATTCAGAGAAAAGTTGCTTACATATATTATAAATTGGTACAATGTCTGCTTATTTCTCTAAACTAGCAGCATAACTTATGATTCCACATCGAAGAATAAAACCATGAATCTAATTTACGGAACTGACGAAATGGGTAACCTGAAAATCTCTACTGGAACTATAGCAGATAGAACTACTACTGTCTCATGATAACATCAGGAATTTCTCATCATTTTTCTCACTCGAGGCTTAATCCATTTTGAGTAATGGTCCGATAAAACCTAATGCAAGTTACAGTTGCGGCTCTAACCTGAAAGATAAACACCTAACTATGGATACACATGGTTGAAGGCGGTGGTATTTTGTCAGACACTGTCGTAGTGAAAGTTGTTGCAGTTGTTCCACGGGGTCGAAAACCGGTGATGGCAGAGGTGTCGTGGGACGAATTATAGTGTCAGCGTACTGCAAACTAGGCTTAACAACCTACCCTAAAATTCAAGCTTACGTCACAAATTAGCACAAAGAGGGCATTGAACCAAAGGTCGAGATCAGTGCAAGTTTGCTGAGGTGGAATAACTTAAGATAATGAAAGTGTTTACTCACCAGAAACGATTAAACTCACCGTTGAGCGAATTGCACGTGTTATTAACATATTCTTTTTCTAGTGCTGTTTTCATATGAGAGTAACCGTCAGTAACCACTATAACTAAAACGATTGTGATGAAGACCGCTTGGGTTATTATTGATTGTCTAACATTGATAAATAGATGACATAAACATTTCATAAGATTTATTTACCATTTAATGGCCTAACAATCAAAAGAAAGTAAATGGCGTGGTAAATTTATGAGACAATTATACCTGTTTAAACTTTTTGGCGTAGGAAAATATTCTTAACTAGCTGAAATAATTGTAATCTTTTCAGTAATAATGTTGATGAAAGGCTCTCTGGATGTACAGGTGATATCTTGAGGGCATATTCCAAGATTCGCGTCTCAGTCTTCACATAACGAGTTTACTACATCGCGGTTATAAATGTAATATTTTCTTCCATTATGACATTACTTCAAGAATATTCTCGCTAGTAAAGGATGAAAAATTCCATTATGATATTATTTTAAGGATTTCTGTCCGTTCCACTGTATAATTCTTTATTTATCTTTCTTCTGGATTAATGAATGAAATCCGTGTATTTCGCAGGAGGCTAATCCTTCACATTTTTTTTCTTAATCTTTCCTTTATAGTTAAACTAGGCTGAACACAGAATTTGCGTTAGATTTACTATCATCCGGGTATATAACTTTGTTGCTATCTAATTCTGCGATAGATTTACTATCATCCGGGTATATAACTTTGTTGCTATCTAGTTCTGCGATAGATTCACCATTATCCAGGTATATAACTTTGTTGCTATCTAATTCTGCGATAGATTTACTATCATCCGGGTATATAACTTTGTTGCTATCTAGTTCTGCGATAGATTCACCATTATCCGGGTATATAACTTTGTTGCTATCTAATTCTGCGTTAGATTCACCATTATCCGGGTATATAACTTTGTTGCTATCTAATTCTGCGTTAGATTCACCATCATCCGGGTATATAACTTTGTTGCTATCTAATTCTGCGTTAGATTCACCATCATCCGGGTACATAACTTTGTTGCTATCTAGTTCTGCGATAGATTTACCATTATCCGGGTATGTGACTATCAGTTCTCGTGACTTAGTGTGTTTTCAGAGGAGGACGATATGTGCATTATTTAATAATCCTGTGAATTGCTCAACATTGAAAAATACTCCATACTATGCTGAAAGACTTAACCAATTCAAATGAAAGTGTGTATACTTTAAAATGTATTCAAATAATTTTTCTTTTGTTGTTTTGTTTCAGTTTGTACCACATTTTCATTTTTACAGAGAGTTAATTACAGAACATCAGTTAACGTTTCAACAGCCGGAAACTGTTGTAAGACGCTCTACCTAAATGTAACCATTGTTATATAATTAGAAGGTTACACGCGTAACTCTTTGGTTGTTGTTTTTATCTGAATGAGTTTATTACTATGAAGATCACTAACGCTCAACTCGCAGCCTTCTATTTTAAACCTATATTTTTCCAGCGCTTATAGTGAGTCCATGCCCACTAAAATCATATATAGGCTGTTTCCACCAGAGATGTTATTTTTAACAAAAGTAAAAGTATCTGTAGTACAAGATGCTGAGCTTCTCTTTGTTTTAATCTTTAATCTTTAAGAGATTAAAGTGAAACAGAGGGAGCAAGACTCTTTTTTTTTTTCTAGTATTCCGTGTTTCACTATTTTAACGACTGGAACGTGTTTCGTAATGCTAAAGCGTTTGTATTTTCTTTTAGCCAGAGATTAAAGTGAAACAGAGGGAGCAAGACTCTTTTTTTTTCTTCTAGTATTCCGTGTTTCACTATTTTAACGACTGGAACGTGTTTCGTAATGCTAAAGCGTTTGCAGCAAAATCTACGCAATGACTTATCTGAAACAATTGAACGCCGATTTAGGTATAACATCTAAATCTATAATCATATATATAATATATTTTAGAAGTGTCTCTAATTCACTGAATGCAGCCAATACATTAGTCTCATTAAAAGCATATTGCTAGTTGGACATGAGTATCTTAAATTCAAAGGGAGACTAAATTATTATTTTTTTAAAGTTATCAGTTAACAACAAAAAGATATAATCATTGATCTGTTAGTTTCTAAGAACCATGTTGTGGAGATAATGGTCATTACGCTGCATAGTTAGCATTCTGTGTCTTTGTCAAAGCTTCCTTTAGAAGAGAACAGTTGTCCGTTAGCGCGTCCAAAACCTTCACACTACAGATCTGGATCCATCAAATGTAGATGTGATTCGATCAATTTGAAAGTGATTAAATTATATATATATCCTGAAATCGATAATCAGTCTACTTTTGACTTGCAGATCTGGCATCTGTATCTGGAGTCAACATTCACTGTCATAGCAACAACATCCAAGTCACCGTAGCAACTGCTAGCAACTTTAACGGAATGATTTATCCCAAAGGGTTGTCCAAGAACTCCTCCTGCATGATGGAGTATGCAGTTATTGGAAACCAGGTTACTTATACTCTACCATTGCACTCCTGCAACACCATGAGCACAGATGTGGTAGGTTTACATACACAATGAAAGTTTGTTTTGATACTTTCGTTATTAAGGAGTTACGAATAAATATAGAAGTTTTTCTGCACTTCTTATACACCACTTTTGAGGTAACATCACTAAGGAAATTATGTTACTTAAAGTTCCAATGTGAAGTTTGGATTTCAAGTTAAGAGTCAAAATAATAAAAGTATTTTCTTGAAAGAGGAAAGCTAGTTCTCTGGGACCCAAGAAAGATAATTAAGTCCAAGTTTTCAGTATGAAATATATGTACATGTATTTGCACTTGTGGATATGTGTTAAGGTCTTTGTAATTATAATTTCGAAATAAGTTAATATAATACAAATGTTTCCGTAAGTGACACCCAGAATATCTTTTGAATAATATTTTTTGAAAAAATCTAGGTTCTAAAGTAGCTCAGGAATTTCATATGCAGGAAACAGGAGGTAATGAATTACGTATAAGTATGTTATACGTTGACAATTTCAACAGTAAAAAATGTTTAAGGAAAATAGGTTTGTGATGCAAAAAGTTTATAAAAATCAACTACTATTATGTTTCTGCCAACTCGATATAAAAACATTGTAATTATTGTAATATATTTTTACATATATATGTTAAATTAACGTCCAGCTATTACTTCCAGCTCATTTCTGAAATCAAGTCGTTAACTTAAAATTTTATTTGTACCACAGGCTGACGGAATAGAGTATTTTAATACTGTTGTTGTTCAACCACATCGGAAGTTGGTAACCAATCAGGGTCGGGGTTACCACGTGCGCTGTAAGTACCAGACGAATGAGAAGAGTATCGTTTCTAACGTAAACGTTAGGTAAGTTTCTTCTACCTCTATACAAACATGTTTCTTATTTTTTAACAGCATGTTTGGGTAAGTTTCGCTAAAACGAATGAACTTATTATACCCAGATATATAAGATGTACTCTGTTGGAAAGTATAGACGCCTTCATAAGATGACACGATTAGTTGAAGGACAGTTTCACGTTTTAATCTATTTTCATTGTGGCCTTTATACAATATATATATATATATATATATATATATGACCTATTTTTGTTTTATTGCTCGTCATTCACAAAAAAGAAAGGAAGAAAGGCGGCTTTGATTTTCTTTGTGGCTTTCGGTTATTTTGTTGGTTTTCGATT